AAGCCAAACGCACACACGGGAAAACAAATTGCACACACAGCATAACAAAGAATTGAAGCCAAATGCACACACCGGAAAACAAATTGCACACACCCGATACAATACCATAATTAAGTTGTGCACAAGCCCATAAAATCTGCTAATTAATTATTACACCCTAATTAAGACACTACCAAAAAGACAACAACACCCCCACATGCAAATAAATCACACGCACAAGGCATTATATTCAGCCAAATCTAATCCATCCAAAAATCCAAATAAACGCACCAGATCAAGCCTCACCACCTCGCCTGACAAAGGTAACCTCACCGGATCCAAAATCTATATATATATATATATATATATATATATATATATATATATATATATATATATATATATATATATAATTAAAGTATATAGCATACAAAATTGTCTAATAGAGTATATGTTATGTGTGTTTCATACCTTAATGAGTGTTCTTCTGTTGGGTCAAGGAAAACATAGTCTGATACCAATTTCTCTTTTGCACCTACATTATTTAGTTTTTCAACATTTGTTGTCCAGTATGGCGATCTCAAGCGCAAGGGCAAGTTTCTGATTTTTCTTGTCTTGTAAACCATAACCTCCTCATCGTGATCATCATCATCAGGCTCAGCAATCAAACTGCATTGTAGTTAGTACCATTTATGTATTAGTACATAGAGTTTCAGTTTATACTATACAGTATCACTTGATAAACAATACAGTTTCAGTTATCTATAACTACAATTTCGGTTATCTATACCTACAGTTTCAGTTCACAAATTACAACAAATATTACATTCATACTGATCAGTTTCATTTTGCATAGACTATAGTGTCATTTCATGAACTTTACAGTTTCATTTATTAAAGATTACATTTTAAATTGAAAATGTGTTGAAGCAATGTAGTTGTAATATGTTGGAGCATAATCAAATAGATTTTTTTCTGTTTCAGTTTGTGGGGTCTGCAAATCTTGTTCATCAGACACAGTCCTTTCACTGTCTTCTTGAATATCACGTGCAATGTTTTAGATTTCAGCAGCAGTTTGTGCTTGCTTATCAGTCACTTCTCCAGGGTTATTCTAAGGGTGTGATGTATGAATAGGGCTCAACCCAAAATCAAAACTTGGTGTTTGAATCAGGTTTGGTGTTTGTGATCTAGCAGGAGGTTTACTTGGGTAGTCTTTTGTTATTTGATAGAATGTTTGTTCAAGTGCATTGACTGCCTCAATGAAGCTTGGATGATTGTAGAGTTCATCATCATACAGTATCTCGTTCTGGTTGAGAAGAAGAGACTGCAGTAATCATGTCAACAATGTTTCCAAAAGTTAGCTTAATTATTTCACCTCTTGTCCCGGGGTTTCCTATTGCAGCCATCACCCCAGCAAATTCAACCACCGTGTCAGCCATTCGATTCAGCACAGAAGTAATCTTGTTGAGTGATTCATTTGATTGATTGCCCTCACTCATCTCAGGTATGCTTGTTTCTTTGCTGGTATGTTATTCCATTGGAAATCTGTCCATTATCTTTCCTCGTCCAAATCTCCCTGACAATAACTCTGCTTTGATTCTTATCTTAACTGCTTCTTCAGTCCAAGACACTATTGCAGGGTACATCCTTTGAATCTTCTCACCTTTGAATTCTGTTCTGTCTAGGTATGTTAACTGTTTTTTAAACAATAATAGCAATAATTATTAATGTTTTAAAATTAATTGTAGTATTTGTGTATATTGATGAGAAAAGTATTTTAAACACATATTAAGATATTACCATCAAGAACAGCGAAGGACCAGTGAAATATGTTTCTTTGTTTTTCTTCCAATACTCAATTGCAGTTAGCAAATATGTGAATTTGTAATGACACCAATTCATGTCTTTCAGCTTTGAAACATCAAGCATGGAGTACAAAATCTTGTATGTTGCCTTTGTAATTTGGTTCCCTTTGATCAAGCTTGATACCAGTAGCACAATGAAATCCCTTTTAAACATGTCTCCACTATCTTCTCTTTCAACAATAGCCAATGTCATTGTATTTGTCACCGGAGAATCTTTAGTTATCCCCCACCGTGCTCTCCAATCTGCCAACAATTTTTTATATTCTGCAGGTTCATTATCAGAGGCAGCCTCAATTACAGGGATTTCCCCCTTTGGAAGGTTCATTGTGCTGTGTACGTCATCAACCGACAGCTCCATATCATTGTTTTCTAACATCAGTGAGAATTCATAGATGTCAAACCTTTCAACAAGATATCTAGTTAGCCTGCTATCCCAGTCAAATACTGTCATCTTCAACATCTCACCAAAACCAATTTCCTGAACTGCTTTTTGTTGATCTGGTGTTAGTGATGTAAGTAGGGATCGGAAATACCTTGGTGACATTCTGGTTGGTAGATAGCACATCTCATCAGTCTCACTATCTGTAGTAGATTTTTTTTTTTTTTGTTTTTTTGGGCAATTTCTTATCAGCTTTTGGATTTCCTGTTGCTTTGCGCTTCAGTAATATTTTTGTCTGTTTTTCTACTTCCTGTGCAGTGTGTTTTGGTCTAGTTGGAATTGTTGGTTCATGCTCAGGTGGTGTTGGTTTTGTTGCAGATTTTGTGGCCTCTTTACGCTTCTTTGATTTCTGTGCACTGGGTTCTGCACCAGACGGTAGTGTTGGTTGATGTTCACTTGGTGGTGGTTCAGGTGTAGTTTGTGGGGTGTTTTTACTTTTCTTTGTTGACTTCTTTTTTGAAGTAGGTGCAGGTTGAGTTGATTTCTGTGCAGTGGGTTCTTGTTCACACGGCATTTTTGGTTGATGTTCGATTTGTGGTGGTTCAGGTGCAGATTGTGTGGTGGATTTACCTTTGTCTGTTGATTTTTTTGCAGCAGGTGCAGGTTGAGGTTGCTGCATGGGTTCTGCTGCCTATGAGTCCAAGACAGCCTTCGTTTTCTGCTTTTTTTGGTGCCTTTCTTCATATTTAGGTATGGTCTGCAACAATATTTAGAAGTATTAATGATGAGTATAATTAGTTTCATTACATGGAGTTTGATGTTTCATTAGAATAAGAATTTAAATTCATACATGTTACTCAGTTTCACTTTACATGCATTGCAGTTTCATTTCATAGACACTACAGTATCGGTTTCATTACATTACAGTGTCAATGCACATTTTATAAAACATAAGTGACACAGAAATAAGCACTTTCAGTTCATATAGTTTCATCTGGTATATATGAGACCACATACTCTATCATTACACATATATACCCAGTTTCATTATATACATGTAGTTTCATCCTATAAACATTACAGTATCATTTCAATCACACTTCAGTTTCATTTAAAATTTTGTAATACAACACTTATTCAGTTTCATTTAATATAAACGACAGTTTCACTTCAGGAAAACTACAGTTTCATTTGTTAAGAAATAAAGTTTGAGTTGGAAAATCAGTTTCATATGGGACCACATTATATACACAAACATCTGGGACCACATAATATGAAAAGAGAAACATGTGATTTTTATTTAGTTTTTATAATAATATTATATGTTTTTTGACAGCATGTTATATCTCACTGCATGTTTGCGATGCAAAACATGAATGCTTGCTTTGAGATGTCTGAAAACCCCTAAAATGTACTGTAGAACACAAGTTTTTCAGGTAATAGACCATCGAAAAATCTCTGGAAAAACCTAACATGAACTGTAGAAAACAAGTTTTTTCAGCTAAATAGAAGATCACATTATATATAACTATATTATCACATTTTTGTTGAAGTAACTAAAGTGAAATGTGCAGTAAACGAAGATGAAGAATAGCAATGGAGATGAGAGGTAAACCGCGGCTGTTGAAATTCTAGCTTGGAGAAAGCGCCGATGGTAAAGTTGCTTTTACTTGTTTAAAAAGATAATGTAGACAAGACAAGGCCTTTCCGTTTTTAATTTAAAAAAAAAAAAAAAAAAAAAAAAAAAAAAAAAAAAAAAAAAAAAAAAAAAAAACGCGTCTCAATATGATCGACAGCGTTAAAGGGCGTCGTTTCGTATAATTAATGAAACGACGCTGCATAAGGGCAATCGTTATGCGTTGGACCCGTGTCCAGCATGCTTGCTGGACACGGGTAACAGTGCCGTTAGGCACTGTTATATTTTTTTCTTTTTTTTTTTAAATTTCAGACCGCTTTGTTATAGGAGTATATATTCATAATTTTATTAGTATATTATTAATAACTGTACATTCATAACTCCATAACTGTACGTTCATAACTCTATAACTGTACATTCATAACTCCATAACTGTACATTCATAACTCTATAATTGTACATTCATAATTTTCGAAGCTCTATGTTCACAATTTTAGAGCTCTATGTTCATAATTTTATCACTATATGTTCATAATGTTAGAGCTCTTTGTTCATAATTCGATCAATAACTGTACATTCATAATTCCATAACTGTAGATTCATAATCTCATAACTGTAGATTCATAACTCCATAATTGTAGATTCATAACTCCATAACTGTACATTCATAATCTTCGAAGCTCTATATTCACAATTTTAAAGCTCCATGGTCATAATTTTATCACTACATATGTTCATAATTGTAAGTTCATAATGTTAGAGCTCTGTGTTCATAATTTCATAAGTGCATAACTGTACATTCATAACGGCATAACTGACATTCATAATCCAAAAAAAATAATAATAATAACGCCGTTAACGACAAAACGCGCGCGATTTTTTTTTTAACTAAATGACGCGTTTTTTTTTTTTTGAAAAACGACGTCGTTTTAGGCCCGTGTCCACAATTCACTATGGACACGGGTCCAGGGCATAATTTGCCGCATAAGGGCTGCGGTGCATGATATAACAACTGAAGGATAGTTTATCCGACCAGAAATTCCAATCATCTGATTTGTAAATTTGAGCCCAAAATGAAAGCAGAAGCCCACTAGTAGATTCTGCCAGTCTTTCCAAACGACATCGTTTGAATATCCATTCGCATCAAATTCACCCGTAGTCCGGAAGAAGAGGCTTCTAGATCGAGTCTGAGACAAGAGAGAGAAAGAGAAATTGACTCAAAGAAGAACCCTAGAAAATGGCGATGTCGTCGTTCTCGCGGTGGCTCGTAGATCCAAAGAGGAACCCTCTCGCCGCTATCCATAAGAAAACCCTCGATTCTCGCCTCCGCAAATACGGTATGTATGAATTTGTATGCACACAAACATATGCGAGTGTCTAGTTGTACCTCATCTGCCTATATTCGCGGATATATGAACAGATATATTCTGGTTTCAATATTTTATAAATAATCGATAAATTTGTGGTGCTGAAGGTCTGAGATACGATGACTTGTACGATCCGTATTACGATCTGGACATCAAGGAAGCTCTGAATCGGCTGCCTAGGGAGATTGTCGATGCCCGGAACCAGCGTCTCAAGCGCGCCATGGACCTCTCAATGAAGCATTTGTACCTCCCAGAGGACCTTCAGGTAATGGTACCATTATTTTTCACAATAGGTTTTCAGCTGATTCTCTTGCTATGGTTAAAAAAAAAAAAAGGAACTTGAAAATGGGTTTTGTATGTTTGTGTGCATATATAGATACAGACACCCTGTTTGCAGTAGGTATCAGCTAGTATAATATTTCAGCCCGTGGAATGGCATATTTAATTGGACTGGCTTTAGACATGCAATTCTATAAATATCTTTCTGTGGTGTTATTTATTTGAACAAAGTATATATTGATTCATATTGGAACCCCAACCTTCATAATGTATAGCCAGGGTACAACCTTAGAGCTCCATAACGTATGCTTGAAAAGAACTCAGGCCAGTGTAGTTAACTTGGTCAAAATACGGCAGTTAACTATTGAATTCTTCAATTCTTTTTTTTTTTTTTTTAAGTAATCCTTCTCTTTGTTCCATTTATTTAACTTCTATACATGATGCTTGTTTTTGAATGTGTGGTAGAAGAGACTTTATGATTTGCATTGATGTTCTGGTTTTCTTTTTTTGCAGGCAATGCAGACGCCATTTAGAAACTATCTTCAGGATATGTTGGCCATTGTAAGTCATTTTAGATTTGTGTTTCCTTTATGCACACAACAGACACACACATTTTGGGGTACATATGGGGGAGATGGGATTCAAACATTGGTCTACTACCTTTAAGGGGTGAAGCTTATTCCAAGCTACACAAGGACCCCCAGATTTGTGTTTCCTTTAATATTTATTTCTTTTCTTTTTTTTTTGGTTCTTCATTTTTGCTAGTGGTAGATCAGCTTACATTAATCTTGTGATCTTGGGTGAATCAATAAAATGAATTTTTATTCTTTAATAATTGTTTTTTTTTATAAATTTACTTGCTGTATATTTATTTCTTTTGCATGTATTCTTTTGCTTGCTATTGACTTGAATGTTTCAATCATTACTCCCTGTTGGCTTTGCATCTCTTATACCTTAAAATTGCTTATAATAGATCTTTGTGTTAGTGATTGCATTTTATGTAACAACTCGCATTGCAATTTTTACCTTGACTTGGCGTAGAAGAATTGCATATTAGTCCCTCCATTCTCAGTTTGCACTTAGTCATTATTCACTTCCAATTGGGGTTTCGGTTGTGTGTCCTAAAGAAAAGTGCACTGAATGAAAGCAAGCTTGCTCTCCAGTTTAATGGAATTTTCTATAGTTTACACCTCAACGTCCAAATCCATTTGCTGTTATAATCTTTCATGTTGATAGGATTGTCTGACATCTCAAGCTTCTGATAGTTTGATGTAAATTGTTGTTCAATCTTGTTGGTCTACATGCTAGTAATATCTACTAGGATACCAATAGCCGAATCCCAACTGCTTGCATAATTTAGGTGTAGGTACAAAAATTTTTATGACTGTAGGTAGCAGAATACATATGCTTTTTAAGACACTACAGCCTGGAAGAATATGGTTCCACCTCAGATGTCTTGAATGATGCATATTGATTTTTAACATTTTTGCCTTGTTGAATTCTCATTTACTGACAATTTTTTTCTTTTATTATTATTTCTTCCTCTTTAGGTGAAGAAAGAGAGAGCAGAACGTGAGGCTTTGGGGGCCCTACCTCTCTATCAGCGCACAATTCCTTAATGCAATTTTCCTTGTTGTCTTGCTGCCAATGAAGGCAAGCGTATATTCTATGTATGGGTATGGAAGAATAAGCACAAGCACGGTATCTATACAAGATCTCCATTTCAAGAATGTATTATGTCAGAAATTTGTTACTGATGCCAAACATCTATTAGCTCGGTCATCTTTGATGGTTTCTCTACCGTACTTTAAAATGTTCAATACAGACTACAGAGGCATTGGATTTTCCTTTATTGCTAGTTTTCCTTGATCCCGTCAGTTATTGAGCTTGATTCTTTTTTGACAATGATGACATGAAATAAAAACTTACGCATTCTGTGTTCACTGTTGTGTTACTGTTGTTAAGATTGATTACTGCTCTATTATTTTAGTTCAAAATTTGTTTTTGTTACAAGGTATTAAGTAGCTCAATGAGAAATGAATGCGTTTTTTGTCCCTCAATCTTACCTATTTTAGTTGTTTTAGTCTATAACTTTTTGTTGTTGCTCTTTAATTTATAAATGATACACCTTAATTCTTCAAAGTTGTAGTTTTAACTCTTGAATGAACAAAAATATTAAACTCCTATTAATTATTTTTAGTATATAGGTATTCTAAAAGTTTATTATCTTTATTTTTCATAACCTTTTCAGTGTTCATATTTTACTATAGGTCATCTCTTTTTTCTCTACATGAATTTGTTAAAATCAAATTTTAATACTCATTACACTAAGGTCGTCTCTAATGCTTAAAAAATTGGAAGAAAGAATGGGATAAAGGGGAGAAGAAGGATGGGAGAGGAACTCCAAGGAGATGCTTGGAGAAGATTGGCTTTCTTCAGAATTGTTCTCTAAAGAAAGCTTGACATAAGTGCGTGGCGTGTGGTGGCCATGCGCCACATCCACTCAGAGGACGTGTTCTCTCCGGAGTCTAGTCAGACACATGTACGTGGCGTATAGTGGCTATGCGCCACGTCCACACAAAGTCTGACACATGTGTGTGGCGTGTGGTGGCCACGCGCCATATCCACACACCGGAGGTGGGGGACAATTTTTCCCCATCATCTGTTATATATATACTAGTATTTTACGCGCATTGCGCGATTGGATAATGCCCAATGTTTTTTTTTTTTAAATAAATAGTTTAAAGTATATCAAGGCAAGATTATATTGGATTGTTCATGCATAGATAATTGAATGTTAAATTTACGTATTTAAATAGGCAATTCTAAGTTTACAAATGCAAGCTAATATAGTCAAGATTGATTATAATTGTCAATAAAATAATTGTATAGGTATACTTGAAATTAAATAGGGGACATAAGGGGGAGCAAATAAAAATTAGGACATAAAATATTAAATATATACTAATATTGTAGAGCTAACTGCTGATTGCCAAACAAGGACATTGCGAGATATTTTTCCACTTCAATTTGTTGTGTGATTTGGATACTCTTTTTGTCAATAAATCCCTCAAATAGTTCATATGATTGGCTTAATTTTTTTTTTTTAACAATTATTATTATTATTATTATTATTATTATTATTATTATTATTATTATTATATGTATACCCTTAGGTCATTTTACATGTTAATCTAAACAGCTAATTTTTTCAAATATATTTTTACCAACCGTTGATATAATTCGCTGGTCAAATTCGCTAATATAATTCGCTAACGTTAACCGCTAACTGCTGATTGTCAAACAAGGATATTGCGAGGTAGTTTTCATTTCAATTTGTTGTGTGATTTGAATATTCTCTTTGTCAACAAATCACTCAAGTAGTTAATATGATTGACTTTATTAATTATATATTTTTTTTATTTTTTCATGGTATTAATAAAATACTTGGTAAATAAATATATAGGATTATTTTGTATTATAACTTTGATATTTAATTAAAAAATAGTGCACAAAAAAGATAATAGACAATGTAGTGAATATAATCAATTGATGAATTTGAATGTATAGAATTTTTTACATTGGAGAAATATAAAGACAATATAACTAATAAAATTATTTCTCTTAATTAATTTATTGATAATGAATAAAAAAAATTTTAATAAAGACATTGTAGGGACAATGTAGCGAATATAATCAATTGATGAATTTGAATGTAAAGAATTTTTATATTGGAGAAAAATAAATACAATATAACTAATGAAATTATTTCTCTTATTTAATTTATTTATAATAATAACTTTTTTTAAAATAAAGACATTGTAGACACATAATTCTATTCTAAATTAAAGAAATGCATATGTATTATTTTTTGTTGTACCTACTAAATTATTATTTAATTTAATAAGAGTAAAATAGAGTACTAATTATGCCAAAATTGATTGGGATAGGGTTCGAACCTAAGACCTTTCTTATTGAAATCAATGAGTAAGTTAACGGTGAACTAACAGAAATTAACGGAAAAAATAATATTTAACGGAAAAGTTAACGGATAATCATATTCATTAAGGATAAATTAGGAAATCTTAAGGAAAAATTAAAATCTTATCAATCTGAGCCATTCATTTGATTAAAAAATTTGACCGCCATTTTTTCTACCCATTATAGGCCTAACTCTCTTGGGCTCTTATTAGTATATATATATATATATATATATATATATATATATATATATATATATATATATATATATATATATATATATATATATATATATATATATATATATATATATTAAAAAGCATCCATTGGGTTGTTTCATACTTTAACGGTCAACTTTTTTTATTCTATTTTTTAAATTTTATTTTTTTATTTTTTATTTATAAAATTATTAGTATATTTAGTATTTAAAATTTTGTACTCATTTTCAAATGTTTTTTGTTACAAAGGAAGAGGGACACCCATATATACTATCTACACCTTCACCAAGACTCAAACCTAAGACATCTCACATAAGGGACCAATCGGATACCAGTGGACTACAAGCCACTTAGTCTCATTTTCGAATGTTAATTTATTTTGTAGACGATTACGAATGTATTTTACTTTTTCATTTTTATTTTAAAATTATTAGTATATTTAGTACTTAAAATTAATCTGAGCCTTGGAGCCATGAATTTCAAAAGCCCGTTAGTTTCAATTGTTTTGTTGGTTGAATTTGAATTCCCTGAACAGTCTTATTCTTTTGTGCAGTCCAAAGCGTCAATTTTCCACCACCAAAATCGATCTTGTGACCTTTTTTAATGGGAGTCATAGAAGTGTCCTATGAACACAAGGTGCTTAAAATTGGCCCTCGAAGAGTCTAATTACACACACATAATCATATATCTTTTTGAAGGTAAATGATCAAATATATTAAAGAAGGCTAGAGCCTAAAAAGCTTGAATGTTCCTCATACAGTCAAACCATACAGAAGTAGTTGGATCATTCAAAATGAGCTCTCATTAAAATTGCGTGAACTGTACGTCTTGAATGTTCCCATTCCTGTCTGATCGAGCATATACACATATATACATCAAATTCTGTGCAACAAGCTAAGCAGTTTTGCTCTAACAAAAGAGTAATTAATCAAAGATTATTACTCTACAAAAAGCAGGCCGGCCAAAGTAGGGGAAACTCCCATCCCATGGAATCCATCCGGCCGGATCTATTAAGCTATCCGACTTCATGAATAATGTCTGTGTCCTCCCTCTATAGCTTGATCTATTTGGCGGTAGGTTACCGTTACACCAGAGCGGGGTGGTTTATGGAGGCATCCAAGTTCATCGTCCACCCTATGAAGAGCAGCGTCGCGGGATGTCATTTTGGGAGATAAAATAGGATAGGATCCATTTTAATTTCTTGCTATTTTGTCTCTATGACACTATTTATATATATAAGTAATACTTTAAAATTATCACAATTTAACATTCAACAGAAAAATTGTTAATTTGCAAGCAATTGAAAAGTGAAAAATAATGACAATATAATTGACTAATAAATATGCTATGTTCTTATAATTTATGGACGAAAACTATTATTTTCCTTTTTCTGGATGATCACTAATAATGAAACTATCAAAGAGAAAACATGCAAGTTTGTGTTTTTGCATAATGTATACACTATTATAGTATTATTTGTCTTAGCTTGTGGATAAAATAAAAATAGAAAAGAGAAAAAAAAAAAAAAAAAAGTTGTGGAAGAAGGTGTCATGGTAGGAGCAGACAACATTGGCAGTGGATGATTATAATATAAGATGGTCCCTACCAGAATAAATAGCAGAGGAAGCACAACATCTATCACTGTAGTCTCATGCTATACATTCGATGCATAATACAACGTTAAATATATCTTGAAAGCTTGGCAAAGTAAGTAGAACATAATTTTTATACTTACGAGTTTAATTATCAATAGAATCTTTCTAATATGATTGATCTTTCTTTATAATTTTTACTCAATACATACCTTCAATGCACTTTCCCTTCAATTCAATCTGATGCATGATGAACACCACCGTCGAAGACAACAGGGTAGTGGCGTTGTTCCTCGTCGAAAACGGCGAGAACCCGCCGCCGATTAGCGTGTCTCGGCTGCCCACCACGAACATGGTCTCACATATCGTCACATAACCAATGACATCGCTGATATGATGGTTCACGTCATAGAACTTCTTATGCTTATAATATCATGAATTATTGATTTAATGATGGAGTGATTACGTTACTTAACATAAAATTGGCCATGTTTGGTAAAATGACGGTTAGCTGATTGTGTTAATGTAAGATATATTAAATAATAATATATCTATATAAGATATATATATAATTGAGAAGAGAGAGAAATTGAATAGATTGTAATTCACTTGATGATTAATGCCTGGTAACATAATCTTACTCCAAATATTGCTTACTAAACCATTGAGCTAAGCTTGTGCAGGTCTTGGTAACATAATCTATTTATAGTGAAGGATAAACTAATAAAACTAAAAAATAGGGAAAATAATGCTCCATGCACTGCAACTATGATCCGCTTCACTTTCTCCGCATGTATTGCCACATTTCCAACTAAACTACTGCAATTGCATGCATGTTACACGTACTTAATTTGATAATGCCATTAATCCCATTTATTGCCACCCACACTTGGTTTAATAATTATAATAATATTATTATTATAACAGTTAATTAGAGGGTATAAATAGTTGATAACATTAGCTGATTGTAGAAAAGTGCTTGGTAAATTAGCGGTTAGCTGATAGCTGTTTGGTATAATTTTTTTTTTAAAAAAAAATTAATTGAAAAAGTTGTTTGGGGTAGCTTTTTGAATTTTAACCTTTTGAAGTTGCAAAAAGTTAATTAACCAAACATTTATATTAATATTTTAACTAAATCAAATAATTAATAGT